CACAAAAAATATTAAACTACAAAAAAATTGAATATTTTATATAACAAAACCAAATATTTAATATTTGCAAATTAATTCAAAAGATAATCACCTCATTAAAATTCCACTAAGGATGAACACTTTCCTAGAATCCCATTAGGGATGAACACCTTCTTTGAACAAATCAAAGGATGAAAAACACCTCCTTTTCCACCAATACATAAAGGATGAACATCTTCTTAAAATCACACTAGGGATGAAATAGAGATAGTTATGACCTTTTTTAACACACTGCTCTAAACCCTAAACGGGGGATTAAACAGTAATCACTCAAACCCTAAACAGGGAATTTAACATCAACTTCCCTTAAATTCCCAGAGGATAAAGGCAATAAAATAATAACAGTCACACCTGAGGAAACATTCACCAGTTGCCTAAGATCCTCTGTGTTGGGAACTCCCCAAACACCACCCCCAATTCCAAACTCATCCATATCCACCATGAAAAGAAAGCGAAAACAAAACCCAAAAAAAATAAATAAATAAAAACAAAACAAAAGATTCAAAGAGACCAGAGAACCCAATACAAGAAAGATTGAAATTTGAAACACTATTTCTTTCTCAGTAAAACTTGAAACTTAAATAAAACAAAAGGGAAAAACGAAAAAGAAGAAGAATCCATAGTTTCCTCCACAGTTCGATCGGCGAGTAGAAGTAGATTGGGGATATGTTAGTGAAAAAATCGATATAAGGATCGAAAAGCGGAGGAAAGAAAATCGAGGATCATATGATTAGTTAAAAAATTGATAAATCGAAAAGATGGTTGGAAGACATTTGATGACCATGTAACAGTATGAACACATAAATCGAGAATTGGAATCGAGAATCAAAGGAAGAACATTTGATGTCTATTGCTGAAGAAAAGCGAGAAATTAGAATCAAGTATAATGTCAAGGTTAAGGGAAATCAAAAGCAATTCAAATTTCTCGAGATTTGAAATCGAGATCGAGGAAAAGGTTAACCTACATGGCTATCGAAATTATGGCTAAGTTATAAATTGAGGAACGGTTAAAACGCAGATGGAACATGGAAGCAATTTTATAAACCGTAGAACTAAGGTAAAACTTTGAGGGACGTGCACGTGGAATGTGGTAGCAATTTTCGTTAACTGCTCTTAGGAGGTGACCTGAAAGATGCTCTATAAATAGAGTGAAGATTGAAGGGAAAAGGGGGAATTGACAGAGAGAACAGAAACGCTAGTGAAAAGTCTACAGGAGAACGACACATCATGAAGTTTCTAATGCTCTGGATTTCCATTTTCATTGATTGTCTTTATCGCTTTATTTACTTTCCCTGGTAATTTACTTTCATGCAATTTATATTCATCAATTTAAGTTTCTGTACTTTAAATTACTTGTCATTTACCTTTAATGCAATTTAAGTTTTTGTACTTTCAAATCCTTGCCATTTACCGTTTTTGCAATTTCAATTTCGTGCTATTTACTTTCATGCAATTTTAATTCCTCGTCATTTACTGTTTCTGCAATTTCGATTTCCTGCTATTTACTTTCATGCAATTTTAATTTTTTGTCATTTACAGTTAATGCAATTTCGAGGTTTCCGCATTTACAATTCTCTGTAATGTAATATTCTGCACTGCCTTTCATTTTCGATACATTTTACTGCTTTCTTTACTTCGTGTTTCTTAATAAAAAATACCAAAAAGAATACTTTCGAGTTTCAATCTGTATGATATGTTGCATTGTTAACATTTCTTGATATTATGATATTTTCGATTCTCATACACGTTTTGATTGAAAATTGTTGCTAGTCTAAGTAAAAAGAATCTACGTGGTTGAAATTTGATTAGAACCTAAGTTGCTGAGAAATCGAAATCGATCAAATTTTCACCGAAACAGGATGTTACCCCCAAATTTAAATTTTAGGGTTCACGAAAATTGAAGAATATTCTCCACCTAGGGTTTATAAAAAAATGGGTAATTTGAATTATTTAAAAAAAATTAATCCTAATTTTCATAATTAGGGTTCTATAAATTAAACAGACATAAATCAAGTATGGGTAGCTCTGATACCAATTGTTGGAAAATTAATAATAATAATTATCCTGATTTTGATTTTAACGATCAAACATAAACATCTCATACTCGATAAACATGTTGTAAACCGAATGCGAAAGCGTACTCGAATTAGTCATAATGATGATGTCTTTGTAGAAGCACTATATTGATCTTATGGTCTTCTACTTGAAGAGCACATGTATTTCCCTCTTGATTTTCTCTCTTGATGGGGATAGAAAAAAGGAACGGGAGTGAAACTTATGTTCTATCTACGTGCTTCGAAGGGACCATGACCCCTTCAAATAACCGAATTAGGTTAATTACTTAAGTTTTAGTATTTCTAATTTGACCCCTCATCAAATTAGAAATTGTTCTATGGTCTCTACACAATTTTATTTTCATGACATATACCTTTAGCCAAACTTTTTAATTTAGTCAGATCAATTTATTATTTGACTTAATAAATAATAACCCTAATACATTTAAATTATATAATATATATATATATATATATATATATATATATATATGACCCAAATTTTACCAATAATAACCTAATATAGTCCAAATTTAACTCCCATCAAAACACATGGATTGAAAAATATTATGTCCTTTAAAAAATTAGAATAAAACTTTAAAATATATGAAAGTGTAAATTTATATCATATAAAAGGAAAAAAAGTTAAATTATTGATTCAATCCGCTTTAATTTAGGTTTTATATGGTTTAGCAAATAGAAACAATATTTTATAGATTAAAATAAGGAGGGTTATTGTATAAGGAGATTTAAAAAGAAAAATTATACAATTAGTGGGAGTAATTATATTATATTATCTCATCTTTGGTACTATTGAAGTGAAGATCCTAAATATTAGATTGCATATTTAATATATAGTATCTATTGAAGCAGCGTAATTTACTTATTTTTATTGGTTTTGATTGAATAGACCTGATTGGTGGTCACTCGTGCGCATGAATTTGATTAAGAGATAGAACGGTGTACAATAAAGATATGGAAAGGGCAGGATGTGACCGCTACAAAATATATATATATATATATATATATATATATATATATATATATATATATATATCACCTTCTTCAATTGTTTGCACCCAAGTGAGAGAAAAGTAAAGTAGCATAACAAAAGTTAAATAAAAACTTTTAATTTAAAAATGATTAGTTATTATTTTTGTTATAGAGTAGTGATAGTTGGAAGATGGAAACAGATAGAAATAGTTGAGTATGGTGAAATGATTTTGTGTGGAGCCTGGGAGATAATTTGGTGGTGAAGACGTTGAGTGTTGTGGTTGAGTTTCTTGGCTTGTGGCTTGTCATTGTGTTAATTACGCTGAAATGATAGCGAATCGAGTATAATATATTTACTCTTTAGGAATTGGTAGGACGTTACGTTGTTTCCAGACAACATTTTCATCACCAAACAACTCACATTTCATTTGAATTAATTAATAAATGCTTAAATAAATCATATGAACCTAGCTCTGGAATTATGCTGTGGCCACACCTATAACTAACTTGTTGTTGTCTTTAATAATTGAAAATAAAAAAAAACCCAGTTCTAGAAAAGTTCCAAATTTATATCTTTTACGTAATTTAGATAAGTTTATAAACACTAACTTGGCCAATGAAGCCAAGTTTGAGGTTGTTTACCAAGCAATAAAATAAACAAAACACCATTTTGCACGTGCCGTATCCTAGAAGAGACCAACCAGCGTACACACAACATAGGCGTCTCTGACTCTGACCAGGATAAGGACCATCATTAATATAATTTTGTAAGATAATAAATAATGAAACAACTTTTTAATAAGTTTTGTCAAACAAAAAGCATGATAAAATTATATATGACAAAGCCTTCTTTTTCTTTTCCACTTCTTCTATCTTTCTCTACAATCCAAACCCTCGTAGCATAATCATAATCCTCACTCACCCTCTCCTCAACTTTCGTTTCTTATTTCATACGGTGCCTATTGAAAACCCACAACGTATAATATAATATTGTTTAACTACCGTCTATTAATTTTTCAGACCTCTTAGTATTCACTATTTTGTTTTTCTTTTTAATATTTGAAATTGAAAAGAAACATTTAGCAGCGGGACAAGGTTGAAAAGGGCAATGATAGTTGTTTGTTGAAGCGGGGTGGCCAAGTAAACCAAACAACCTCTGATGCTTGCTTGCGTCTCTGTTCTCTCCACTGTCTCTTCCTCTCTGCTTTCCTCTGTTTCTGTCTGTTCCTTCTTTGAGTTGAAAACAATATCAGATATTTTTCTCCCTGTCACTCAGCAGCCAAACTTGCGTTTTACTCTTCCCTCTCTCTTCATTTAATTGTATCATCTACGTTTCTGCGCGATTCACCTAGCGAGTTTCTTTCATGCTCTGTCTCTGGATGGATGCATAGTACTCTTTCTGTTTCTGATAAGTATGTTTTGGGTCTCTTCAAAATACGGTTTTCTCTGTCGCTTTGGCTTATCCCTTGGGCTTCTTTGATTCTTACACTTCGGGAAGTTTTCCTTGTCTTTACCTTTTTTTTATCATTTTTACATATGGTTTTCTAGAGAGGAAAAAAAAAAATTAAGGTAGAAATTCCAAATTCCAATCTTTCTTTTCTGGGATACTATCGTTTTCGGCAATGTTCTTCAATTTGATATTTTTGCATCCACTCTTGCTCTCCTTGTTTCGGTTACCTGGATATTACTAAAAAGGCAAATTTCATGTTTGATGGGTTGTTCTTAATTATCATGTTTTAATTTATATCTAGTTTGTAGAGAAAAAAAAGGAAAGGAACATTCTGTACCAGAGAAAAATCCATTTTTTGTGTCCCATAAGTTATCCCTCATCATGAAATTTCTCACTTTCCTGGTGGTTGTGTGATATCTTTTCTTTTACTTGAGGGTTTCGGTGTTTGTTAGTCTCAAAAAAAAATGAAGGAAAAGGTGGATTCCCCAGTTACAGTCCTTGAGGACTATTTCAGGAGCTCAGATTCAGAATCAAGTTCTTCCAAAGAGCCTGCAGTGGATTCTGAATCTCAAGACCTTTCAAAACCTGCTTCTAGGTGGAATGCATTTCTTCAATTATTTAGGAGTGGGTCGAAGAAACAGATGAACACATTGCACCCTCTCAGTGCCCTCAAGCTCTCCAAAAGAATGAGCACTAGCATGAGGGAGACCATTCTCCCAAGTTGTTTCCTGGATGCAACTGCATCCCCTTGCAGGTCACCGTGGAAGATATTTACGCATCACGAGATTCAGGTTGCGACCAATTCATTTAGCCACGGTAATCATCGTACTTCAGATTTACATTAATGATTGGATTTCTTTGCTTGGTTTAAATTTTCCGTTTAATTTTTTTATGTTCTCAACTAATTAGAAATCACGGTGGTTATAGCTATTACAAAAATCAACAATCTTATCATAATATTCCCTTTTGTCAGTTTTAGGGAATTGTTTCAAAATTTCACATTAACAGCGAAGCAACTTCATGTAGCCTTAACAGTTCCATTCTATTTGCGCGCATCAGATATTTTTAACGCGATAGCAAATAGACTGTTAGATGATAATATGAGAACACAACTTTATACTGTTAGTGTATGTATTTGTATTGAATTCTACTTTTTATGTTGGTTGGTGCACTTTATTTATTGTTAGTGTATTTGAATTAAATTCTCAATTTTGTGTTGGTTGGTGCAGAAAATTTGATAGGGAAGGGTGGCTATGCTGAAGTTTACAAAGGGTGTTTGCCAAATCGTCAGCTAGTGGCAATTAAACGTTTGACAAGAGGAACAGCTGATGAAATCATAGGGGATTTCTTATCAGAACTTGGTGTAATGGCACACGTAAACCATCCCAATACTGCCAAGCTGGTTGGCTATGGAGTGGATGGTGGAATGTATCTTGTTCTTGAATTGTCAGAAAAAGGAAGCCTGGCTTCAGTTCTTTATGGTAATGGTGAATTGCTTACTAATTTTAACCTTTTATATTTTATTGAGTCAATAGTTTGCGTTTTGTTCAACATTATCATTTCTTTGATCACTAGGTTCCAAGGAGAAACTAGCATGGTGTACAAGGCACAAAATTGCATTAGGAATAGCTAAGGGTATACTCTATCTTCATGAGGGTTGTCAAAGAAGAATTATCCACAGGGATATAAAAGCTGCCAATATCTTGCTCACGGAGGACTTTGAGCCTCAGGTATGTATCACATGAATCCATGAATGAAGGCTTGGGATTCTCTTGTCCAAGTTTGATTCTATAATTGATCACCACAAGTACCTTATGTCTTTTTTCTCATTTTGTATTTACCTTATAGACAAACATTTTTTTTGGAAGATTCCCCAAATGTGATGGACGAAACTTCCCTCGTTTTGGTCACATCATTAACGCCTCTAGTCCCCCACATTTTTAAAATGCAGTATTTACTTGTTATGTACATTAATGGACATAAAGATATTTCAGGACTAAATTGAAACGTTACAAATTTTTTGGACAGATTTGTGATTTCGGGCTAGCAAAATGGCTGCCAGAAAATTGGACTCACCACACTGTTTCAAAATTCGAAGGAACTTTTGGGTTTGTGACCTTCACCAATACTTTTGTGTTAAAAAACCTTTTGTGCTTCGTATTAACTCTGTTCCATTTTTTACTGGCACAGTTACCTAGCACCTGAATACTTGCTGCATGGCATAGTGGATGAGAAAACGGACATATTTGCCTTTGGTGTGTTGCTATTAGAATTAGTGAGTGGGCGTCGAGCACTTGATTATTCACAGCAAAGCCTTGTGTTGTGGGTATAGTATCTTACTATTTACTATTTTTACTCATAAATTTCATCTTCCTGCACCTGCCTATAATCTCTTCACTCTAGATTTGATTTTTTTTTCTGCTAACAAATTTTCAGGCAAAACCGTTGCTGAAAAAGAATGATATTGTGGAGCTGATTGATCCTTCACTAGCAGGTGACTTCGACTCGAGGCAAATGAATCTTATGCTCTTGGCTGCTTCTCTGTGCATACAACAGTCCTCGATTCGTCGCCCCTCTACAAAACAGGCACGTTGTCTCTATCTTTTTCAAATTTCCAAATGGATTTTTGAAGTAAAACATTATCATGAATAACTGACTATATTTTAAGAATTGAATTGAGTCCAGTACTCATATATTGTATGTATGGTCCACTTTTTCTAGTGGCAGAACATATGGGAGTCAACCCACTAACCGTTCTGTTTCTGTGTACCTTAATGTGTATGACAAAGTCCATTATGAAGCATGTGACTATGACAGTCCATTATTAAGACTGTGACCCTTTGGTGCAGGTTGTACAGCTTCTGAATGGCAACCTTAGCTGCTTTAAGGGCATGAAGAAAACCCGAATGCCATTTTTCAGAAGAGTCTTTCGAGAAGAACTCCATGATTCTGAATAGTTCAAATGAACAAACTACTCACATGATCATCATCGGGGGTTTAGTGAAGGTGGTCGCTCTCTATGACCCCTTCTTTCTGGTGGAGTTTCTGCAGATAGAAATCGCCTCATCAAACTGAAAATTTTGCACTTTGCCTAGTCCAAAAAAGGAGCTTGCTACTCTCTCTACCCTTCAACCTCTGTACATAATAGAAATACTTAGTTACATGTAAGGAAGAAGAAATATTGTATTAAATTAACTCATGAAGCTCTTTTCTCATTCCCCTCCAAACAGGGTCTACCTAAATATTTATTAAGTAAAAACAAATACTTTTTCTCTCTCCACCTTTTCATAATTACAAATGTTTTTTTTAGGTGGAAAAAGATTGTTACGTGGAAAGCACAAAAAGAAAGTCATTGGAGACTTTTGGATGTAAAAAAAAAAATCCGTTTCAAGATTTGGGTCTCTTACTTGGAAGCATTTGATTGAAAAATATTTCATTTCCTCCATAATAAGTTAGTAGCTGGTGGAACGTGACATGCCCACTGTAGCACATTACAAACTGACATCAATCCATGCGAATGAATTGAGGCCGCACAATTTTTATTAAATGCTCATCACATATATACTTTTGTTTTTTAATATTGCCTTCATTATTTATGAAAGAATACTACTAGGTTATTTATTAATCAAGAAGAAACTGAATAAACTAAAATATTGCGTGATATTGAGCCTAAACACATTTATACTATCATCTAATTATTGATTTAGTTGAGATAAATAAAATACAAAAATAATTTGAGAGACTTGATTTTCCAGTCTTATATTCTCATATTTACAATAAAAAGGGAAGTTAAGATCCAATAAATAGGAAAATAAGATAACAAGAGAAGAGATATATGGTTCTAACACTAATCTAGGGACAATCCTTAACAACAAAATTGTATGAAACAAGTTTAAAACAAATAAATTTAATTTAAGGTTATGCACATGTAAGTTGATAATTGAATAGGATAAACTTATTATAATTTTTCTTGAACAATTTTTCTGAATAAAATTGTTGAATATAGAGAAAATACGGTTTGAGATTAATCTCCCTTGTGTATAAAACACACATAGGGTAATCTATTTATAATAGAGAGATGTACAACTAAAAGAGTAACCGAAAGTAAACAAAATAAACAGAAGATATTGTTTGATATTGTGGTTAACAATATCTAAACAATATCTAACATTCTCCCTCAAGTTGGAGCAGACAAATAGTATGTGTCAAGCTTGTTACAAATATAATCAGGCCCCCGTAAAGACTTAGTAAAAATATCTGCTAACTGATTACTTGAGTTAACAAACTCAGTCTTTATGTCTCCAGACATAATCTTTTTCTCGAATGAAATGACAGTCAATCTCAATGTGTTTGGTCCTCTCATGAAAGACATGATTAGAACTAATATGAAGAGTGAAAGTGATGAAGATCTTATTTGAATCATTTGATAAAATGAAGATCTTGTTGATTTGATGAAGTCAAATGAAGTCAAATTCTATTCTGGTGAAGTCAAAGGTTACTTAGTTAAAAGGGTAGAGTGATTAGTGAGTCTGCATCTATACATAGGTATATTCATTTATAACTCTCTGCTGCATGAGGTTTCATCATTTAAAAGATTTTGAAAATGCCTATAAAGATGATTAATCTATTAAAAACCAAAGTAATCGGTTAAATAGTTTTTAAAAAATTGTTTTAACTGATATTATATGAGCTTTATCAGTTAAAATGTTCTTAACACTTACATAACAGGTTTTTAACTGATAGGTTTTTGAAATAATCGATTAAAATCTTTTAAAACATACACTGGAACTGTTTTAATCGATATATCTTCGAATTAATCAATTGTTTTCATTAAAAGATTTTTTGAAAACCTTCTGCTAGTATTTTAACTGATATAGATTCGAAATAATTGATTAAATTCACTTAAAATATTTTGGAAAGTGTTCTGGTAGTATTTTAATCGATACAAACTCGAAACAATCGATTAAAATAACTTGAAGTGCTTTGAAAGATGTTCTGTCATTATTTTAATCGATACAAACTCGAAATAATCGATTAAAATAACTTGAAGTGATTTGAAAGATATTCTGTCGAATTTTAATCGATGTAAAATCAAATTAATCGATTAAAACAATTTATGTTAATTGTTTTAGTCGATTAAAACTGGTTGTTATCAGTTAAAATCACTTAGAAAGTTTTATGAAAATATTTGGCAGAATTTTAATCGATTAAAATACGAATTAATCGATTAAAATGCGAATTAATTGATTAAAACAACTTAAGGGATTTTTTACAAAGTGTTTTAATCGATTGAAACGATGTCGCATCAGTTAAAACAAATATGGAAAATGATCAAGAACATTTTAACAAATTAAAAGAAGTTTTAACAGATTAATTCAAGAATTTTAACAGATTAAAAGATTGTTTTAACAAATTAATTAAACCAGCAGTTAGAACAAATCTCTATATAAACAAGATTGTTTGAGTCTTTTAAAATATACTTTTGAACAATTAATCAAGCAATCATAAGAGTTATTTTCAAGAAAGAATCACACAAGTTTTTGTGAAGTTTTTCAAAGTTCTTTCTTGAGACAATTTTTGCATTCTTTTTTGTGAAGAAACTCATTCTGTAGAGCTGCATAATCCGGGTTTGATTGTTGTAGTTTCTTCTCTTTGTTTCTTTACATTTCATTACTGTATTGTGGGTGTCTGGAAGTGTGGGCACTGATTCTGTAGCTGGAATTTGGCTGCAGGTTGATTCAAGAACTAGAACTTGGTTCTTGGTGAAGGTTTAGGTGCAAGAACTGGAATTTGGTTCTTGTGGTAAGATTGGGTGTCTGGAATTATTGGGCACTAATTCTGTAGCTGGAATTTGGCTACAGGTTGGTTCAAGAACTGGAATTTGGTTCTTGGTGAAGGTTTAGGTGCAAGATCTGGAATTTGGGTCTTGTGGTAGATTGGGTGTGTGATTGGAATCTGTAATCTGTAAAACATTCAATCTAGTGGAACTCAGCTGCAATTTGGTTGAGAACTGGACGTAGCCCTGGGATTGGGTGAACCAGTATAAATCTTGGTTGTATTTCTCTAAACCTTACTCTCTTCAATTCTGCTGCTGTCTTTATTTCAATTGTTTGTTTTGCTTGATTCAAGAATTGATCAGAACTCTTAATCTTTGAAATAAATTATCTGTAAATTGTGAAAATCTTTCAAAGATCAATTTACCCCCCTCTTGATCTCAGCCTCCTTTTCTAACAAAGAGCAGTCTGATTGTCACACACAAGTGTCATTTGAGTGACATCTCGAAATTGTAACTCTCTAAGCAATTGCTTGAGCCAAACAAGTTCACAGGAAGCTAAGGTCATAACTCTATATTCTGCTTCTGCACTAGATCTTTCCACAACACTTTATTTCTTACTTTTCCACGAAATCAAGTTACCACCAATAGAGACACAATATCCAGATGTAGATCTTCTATCCGAAGGAGATCCTGCCCAATCAGCATCTGAGTAGCAAACAACTCTTGTATGGTTATTAGAATCATATAATAATCCTTTTCCAGGAGATCCTTTAATATACTTCAAGATACGAATGACTGCATTCCAATGATCTTCACATGGGGAATTAAGAAATTGACTTACCACACTGACTGTAAAGGAAATGTCAGGACGAGTAACTATAAGATAATTCAATTTTCCAACCAATCTTCTATACTGCTCAGGATCAGATATAGGCTCCCCCTGATTTGGTAGAAGTTTAGTATTAGGATCCATGGGTGTATCAACATACTTTGAACTCATCGACCTAGTTTCCTCTAAAATATCCATGACATACTTCCTCTGAGATATAACAATACCATCATTGGACTGTGTCACCTCAATACCCAAGAAATATCTAAGTTTGCCAATATCTTTGGTCTGAAAATGGTGACATAGATGTTGTTTCAACTGAGAGATGTCATGGTTGTCACTACCTGTAAGAACGATATCATCAACATATACTATCAAGTAAACACATCCAGCACTCGAGTGTCGATAAAAGACAGAATGATCTGATTCACATTGAGTCATACCAAATTGTTGAACAACCTTGCTAAACTTTCTAAACCAGGCCCTAAGAGACTGTTTTTGGCCATATAGGGATTTTCGAAAACAACATACCATCCCAGAAGACTCCTCCTGAGCAACAAACCCAGGAGGTTGCTCCATATAGATTTCTTCTTGCAAATCACCATTGAGGAAAACATTTTTAACATCCAGTTGATAAAGAGGTCATTGTTGAAGAGCGGCCATGGCGATAAATAAACGAACAGAAGCCATTTTCGCCACGGGGGAAAAAGTATCTCCATAATCCAACTAAAAATTTGAGTATAACCTTTTGCCACAAGACGAGCTTTGAGGCGATTAATAGTATCATCAGGTCCAACTTTGATAGCAAATACCCACCTGCAACCAACAACAGATTTTCCAGATAGTAACGGGACCAATTCCCAAGTTCCACTATGTAGATCCCAAATCTTGCCCGGCCTCCAAATAAAGATCAGAAGACCTCCTATTTGAAGATGGACGAAGCCTAACAAGCCATTAGGAGAGACTATTAGGCCTCATACTAGGATAGGAGGGAGTTTCTGTACAAAAAAATAAGTTTTCTCGCTTTGTTGGGACGAGACCGCCCTCTGGAATCCCCAGACCGCCGTCTCGCCTCATGCAAGCGGCGAGACCGCCGTCTTGCTTGACGAGACGGCGGTCTCGCCACCTGCGAAGGACAAGACGACGGTCTCGTTCCTCCAGACGGCGGTCTCGCCGTGTTGACAGGTCGAGACGGCGGTCTCGACCCTTTCAGACGAGACCGGCGGTCTCGCCACCTGACAACGCGAAAACCTATAAATAGGGGTCCTCCCCCCCTCATTTCCACACACCTCAAGCTTTTTGCTCTCCCTTCTCTCTAAAACTTCTCTCTAGAATCCCTCCGACGCATTTCC